TCAGCCTGAACCAAGACACCATCAGCACTGGGGCCACCGAACATGATCCACATGATAAATGTATGGTCCCAAAATTATGCAAAGTCAGTGATTCCCCCTAAGATAATAAACATGGATTGTCTTTATGTTGGCTTATCTCATGAAAACTAGAACCACGTCAGTACCAGCACACACTGCATAATGTTTCCAAAGTCAAGGAGAAATAATTCGAGGGTTACTTTTGTTAGTGTTTTCCTTTAAGCGTTAGTGACTGTGTCAGACGCCAGCTGAAAGGTGCACACAAACAGTGATATGGGGCACTTCTGTGACTTCAGGGGCTTTGTCTTTAGCATGTCAACAGCAGAACAAGTCATGGGCAGAACTGTGAGCTCCAAACATGCATCTCAATAAGATCACTACAGTGACTCGGCTGCAAAGCAAGGAATGTCATGGCGCTCAGAAATGCTGGCTGCAGGAGCAAAGCATTCCCTTATACCCACAAACACACGCAGCAGCTCTGAGCTCCAACTCACGTCCACAGAGAGGGGAGAGCAAGCAGTGAGGCCACTCCCTGTGACCTGCTACCAAAGCTATTGCTTACTTAAGTAAGGGCTTTTTTCTGGCTAAGGTCTCTAGCCCGTGAAGTGTAACCCATGCATTCAACAAATAGCGATTTGATGCTCACTCTGTGCCAAGCACTGGAGCTCAGCGCTGAATGGCACCCTGCCTGACACGGAGACCCGCCTTTCTAGTGAGTGTCGGGCAGCCCACCATGTTGGTGGGTAGGGGCAGACCAGCCGCGGCCGACCTCTGCCCGGGGCTCCCTCCCTCCAGGCTGCTGCTCTGCTTCATGTGCTGTACCACGCTGCTGTCCATGTGGCTCTCCAACACCTCCACCACCGCCATGGTGATGCCCATCGTGGAGGCCGTACTGCAGGAGCTGGTCAACGCCGAGGAAGAGCAGCTTGTGGCAGGCAACACCAACGCTGAAGAGGCCGAGCCCATCAGTACAGGTGGCTGGACTGTCCTCCAACCTCCTCCCCAGGGCCTCCTGCCAGGCTCCTCCTGTGCAACTGCCCGACTTGGTGCCCACCCATGACCCCTCACCAACCCCTCCCCACCAGCACCTTCCCTCCCTCTTTCCCACCTCCACCCCTACCCTTGCCACCTGGAGCTTCCCTGAACCCCCATTTACAACTCTTCCTCAGTCTTTCACTCACAGGCACCCCCTACACTCCTCCATACCCCCAGATGCTCCAGAGTTACTACAGACCCCTGGGCCTGTGCACACCCGTGAGCCCCACCTTACCCATGGACAGCAGAGGGAAGGGGAATCGTCACCCACCACACCCCACACAGGCAACTCCAGCCTGCATAGCTCACTCACTTCCTGCTTTGCTTTGCTACTGTAGGTCTTGATGTAAACAACAGCCAACCTTCTCTGGAACTCATCTTCGTCAATGAAGAGTGAGTATGATCATGCCCTTCTTCCTCCAGACAGAGCCTCTTGGAGTCCACTGGGCGATCAGGAAAGACAAGACCTGGGCCCCTAAACAGCTCTTTTAGATTTGGGGTATAAGCTCCCCTACTTCTCACTTAACCACAGCGATTGCAGTGATGAGGAAATAAACAGACCACACTGAATCACAGTGGATGAGTGAATTGTCCATGCATCTGCCCAGCAGAATGTCATCTAAACTGATGCACCTCTCAGGAGAACAATATGTTTAGTCTATTAGGAAAAACACCCACCCACTAGATGTCACTGGAGATTCTTGGAGAACCATGAAATATTTTATAACTATTAGATATGGTTTTAGTGGATTTGGCCTTGTTAGATATGGCAAGGAAAGATTCAGTGACAGGTCGGGGATGGGGGCCCAGGGGATGAGAGGGCCGTATGACGGTGGAGGGTGAAGTACAGTCTCAGACATTCCTGTGTGGTGGATCCAGTAAGAGCTGGTTTCTTCTGGAGATTCTATTACAAAATGTGGTCTTCATAGTATTCTGTGATGAGTTTTCCACATTTAAAACTTGGACTCCAAGTCGATCTCAGCTTTGTAATTTTCCCTTATAGGAAGGGAGAGTGCACAGAGTGACATCAGCCTGTGCCCAGGACAGCCTTTCATTTTTCTCCCACTGCTGTCTCCCGTCGGAGCATATTGGATGTCTTGATGATATCTCAAGCGAATCTCCTGGCTCTTCTGGTTCCTTGTAGATATTATAACGTTCTCGCTCCCAGACATTTGGAAGTTTAGCCTAGATTCATATCAAAACTTTGATCCCTCACCCAAAGCTTCTCCCCCACACCCCTAGCCCAGGCCTGGGAAGAAGAGAGGTGCAAGTGAGGGGGAGGGAGTCGCCTTTCCCTTACTCTTCTTCCCCTTCCTCTTCTCCTCCAGGGCTAGGGCAGAGGCTATCGGGTACAGCAAAGATAAAGGGGCAAAAAGGGTCTGGGTTGGAGCTTTTGGAGTCTGTGGTTGGGGCCTCTCAGAGATCCAGACCCCAGCTCTTTTATTAATGGGGCACCCGCCTTCAGGGTCTTGGGAGTATCTGGGACCTCTGCATAGCCCCAGGCCTGACAGCAGGGTACACTCCTGGATAATGACCCACACCAGCGCTGGTGTTCGCTCTCCCACAGCCCTTCCATTCTGGGTTGCCTCTGCCTCCCCAGGAGGGCCTTTTCCGGAATTCTCTGGCCCAGCTTCCATCAGTGTCCCCCACCCCCAAGAACATTCGGTATCATTGCCCTGTTGGACACTGGCGGTACACGCTGCTCCCATGGCAGCTGGCCTTTTCTCCTCCCTGTGGCCTCTCTGGCAGCACCCCACAGGCTTCCTGTCTTTGCTCTTTTCCAAAAGAAAATATATGTCTCCAAATCCAAAGCAAAAGTTCACATTGTCTCTAGAACTCTCTGAGCATCCTTTGTGCTGGCAGGAGCCAGGGCTGTCTGCTGAGGGTGCTGGTGGGCTCTTCTCTCGTAGCAGCACCCCACATGCCATCTGAGGGTCCTCGCCTGCCCTCCTCCCCTAGTGTGGGAAGAAGGAAGGGGAAACATCACAGCACGTTCTCCTCCCAGGCTGAGAACTCTCTCCAGAGAATGTTGCACTCTGAATGCCCATCAGCTCCTTACCCTTCCTGGATCTCACCTGGAGATGGCAATGCCACAGGGCTCCACGTCCTGCTTGTGTGTGCCCAGACACACTTCAGTCTTCACAGTGGGTGAGCTGGTGCCATCCACTGTCCTCACGAATGAGGCAAACCAGACATGTTCTCTGAATACTCAATGTGTTCGTTATACTGATGGCTAAGTTCTCACCTTCCTCTGTCCTTAAGGCAAAGGTCATGGGACCAACAGGTGTGGGAGGGACTCAGCACATGCCAGTGCTGGTCTGAAATTCTCCCCTTTCTCTTTCTCATTTGCCTTTCCCTGGTATGGTCCAGACCTCCCTGCTGCTGTCACCTCAGATAAGAATGTCCACATGTCTCTGTCTAATGGCCTTCTCCAAGTCAGTTAGTGGGGACGTGGTGCAGGGTGCAGGCTCTCCCGTCAGACAGAGGCAGACTCCCAGCCCACGCCCCCACTTAGCATTCAGGCACCGAGTGATGGTATAAATGGAGGTTGTAAAACCCACCCCATAGATCTGTTATGAGGGCTCACAATGTCATGAGGATTAAAGCCCATCTGTAAGCACTCAGCACCTAGTAAGCACTCCATGTCCACTATCATTAGGAGTATTAGTATCTCTTCAAAGGAGACAGGCCACTTCTGCCCTCAGGAGGAAGCAGTCCCCGACCCCACAAATCCTTACAGCATCTCAGAAGACAAGGAGGACTAGGGCAAGACTAGTCTTCTTTGTAGGCTAGAAAACTGGAGCCCAAAGGGTTTAAGTCCCTTACACCAAATACCCAAGGCAGGAGGAGAACTGCCCTCCCCTGAAGTCTGGGCCACTGTTGCTCCCCTGTTTCTTTTGCTCTGTTCCAGCACATCGACTGCAGACCTCACTTCTCTGATGCACAGCAAGGTATGTTCTTGGGTTTTCTCTGTGCTCTGGGATCATTGGGGAAATTCCTCAAGATAACACAGGGACAGAGATGGCTGACAGCTTGTCCTAGATCCCAGCAGCTCCCACAGATGTAATGGAGGAGAGGTCCTCACACAGGCTGGGACATAAGAAGGGCTAGTCTGACTCCTGGCAAGGGTCTGGGTGGTTCTGAGCCCCAGCTCTGAGTACTGGCTTTAGCCGCATAAAGTAAAGCCAACTTTTTCTTCATAAAATCCCAAAATTCAGCCATCCAGCTTTTCTAAGAGCCACAGATTCAACCTTAGAATTTCTTTCAGTAGGGATTCCATTTCCAAATTCTTTTTTTTTTTTTTTTTTTTGAGACAAGGTTGACTCTGTGCCCCTGGCTGGAGTGCAGTGGTGCAATCATAGCTCACTACAGCCTTGAACTCCTGGACTCAAGTGATCCTCCAGGCTGAGCCTCCCAAGCAGATAGGAATATAGGCATGAGCCATCACCCCACAAAATCTTACTATTAAAAGGGACACATCTATAGGGGAAAGCGGAGTTAACTGCACACTGCTACTCAAACCCACCCTCTTCCCCCGAAGCTGGTTTTACATCTCTTCATGAGAGATGTGAAAGGCCAGTGAAACCGTGGACTTTGCTGTGGTGAGATTCTTTCTCTCTTTTCTTTTCTTTCCTTTCTTCCTTCCTTCCTTCTTCCTTCCTTCATTCTTCCTTCCTTCATTCTTCCTTCTCTTCCTTCCTTTCTTTCTTTCTTTCCTTCCTTCCTTCTTCCTTCCTTCCTTCCCTTCCTTCCCTTCCCTTTCTTTCCTTCCTTCCTTCCTTCCTTCCTTCCTTCCTTCCTTCCTTTCCTTCTCTCTTTCTTGGTTCTTCTTTAGCTAATGAAGTCCCAGAAAGTCTGGTTCTCCTATAAGGACAGAGCCATGTCCCACTAAGTTTTGAAAGCCTCTTCAAGTTGGGTGGTTGACACTAGGCTGGCCAGGGAGCCATGGGACAGAGGCAGGCCTGGGGAGTGCTGCTCTGTCATTCCACAGTGCAGAGGGATGGGTGGCCTGAGATGACCAGGTGGTTCTTTTCAAGGCACCTGACTCTCCACATTCTCTTCCTAATAGTGTGATGGCCTTTGTCCCAACAGAGCCTGAATGGTGTGCCTATGATCACCAACCCCATCAAAACAGCAAACCAACACCAGGGCAAGAAGCAACACTCATCCCAGGTAATGGAATTGCACCTCTAGCCTTGTTTCTTATATAAAGGGCCTTGGCCTTTCCAAGGGCCCTTGTCATGAAGTTGTGAAGTTGTGAGAGCTTCAAAGTCAAAGTTCTCAGGGTGGTGCCTGTGGCTCAGAAGGGTAGGGTGCCGGCCCCATATGCCAGAGGTGGCAGGTTCAAACCCAGCCCTCCCAAAAAAAAAGTCAAAGTTCTTTTGACTTTGGCAAGAGAATTTGGCAAGTGAGTCCACTGCCTACACTTCAGTTTCTTCAACTACAAAAACTAAGCGTTAGTCTAGATCAGAGATATTAAAGCTATTCCTCAAAGGTGCTTAAGGGGCACTGCAAATATTTTATTTGAGTATCTTCAAATTAAAAGTCAGCTGCTTTTCTGCATGAATAAGTATCTTTCTGGTATTATACCACTGAAACAAAATGCATAAATCAAATGAATCTTAAGGTAACTGTCACAACCCTTGATTTCACATTTTTGTGTTCATCAAAATAGTCTCACTTGTTCAATATCCATCATTATTGTCAATAACAGCCACCATTTCTTTTTTTTTTTTTAAATTGTTGGGGACTCATTGAGGGTACAAGAAACCAGGTTACACTGATTGCATTTGTTAGGTAAAGTCCCTCTTACAATTGTGTCTTGCCCCCAAAAGGTGTAGCACACACCAAGACCCCACCCCCCTCCCTCCTTCTCTCTTTCTGCTCTTCCTGCCCCCCTCCTTTTTCCTCTCTCTGCTCTCCCCATCACCCACCCCCACCATGTCATTAATTGTCATTAATTGTCCTCATATCAAAATTGAGTCCATAGGATTCGTGCTTCTCCACGAATGCCTTACTAAGAATATTATGTTCCGCTTCCATCCAGGTTAATACAAAGGCTATAAAGTTTCCATTGTTTTTAATGTCAACTACCATTTCTTAAATGTTTAGTAGGTACCAAGCACTGTGCTAACTAAGCATTTTTCCTCTGGTCTTGACTCAGTGAGGTAGTGATTTTGAACTCTGTTTTGCAAATAAGGCAGAGAAATGACATCATGTACCCAGGGCTGAAAAGCCAGGCAGGAGAGAATCTTGATTCAAATCCAGGCCTCACTAACCACATGCAATTAACCCCCTGCTATACTTCCATTTACAAAGCAGATGTATGCCAATTCAATGCTACACTTGTATGTATATATTGGGGTTCTGTGTAAAATTTCACAGGACTAAAGGATTGTGGAAAACCACTGGACCTAAGAATCTATGAAGTCTCCTCAGGTCTGATCAATCAGTGGATCTTTCAAAGAGATGTGCAAAGATCAAGACTTGGCCCTCAGCTCGGCGCCTGAGGCCTGTGGCTCAAGTGGCTAAGGCACCAGCCACATATACCTAAGGTGGTGGGTTCGAATCCAGCCCGGGCCACCAAACAACAATGATGGCTGCAACCAAAAAATGGCTGGGCGTTGTGGCAGGTGCCTGTAGTCCCAACTACAGGAGGCGAAGGCAGGAGACTCACTTGAGCCCAGGAGTTGGAGATTGCTGTGAGCTGTGATGCCATGGCACTCTACCCAGGGCGACAGCTTAAGGCTTTGTCTCAAAAAAAAAAAAAAAAGAAAGAAAGAAAAAAGACTTGGCCCTCCTAGGAAGATGGGGCCATGTGAAGGGTTTTGAAAAATGTAGCAAGGTGGCCTCTTCCCCACTGGTTTTCTTATGACCTTACCTCCTGACATTTGCACCAGATACCTCCTAGTCTCGTGAAGAACCAGCTACAGTAGCCAGGCATGTAGGGGCAGGGACGTTTGCTTCTTCAGCCCACACCAGAATCCAGCGCTCAGCAACCTGTTTGGCCCTGACAGATTGTCACCAGGATCAGCAGGGTCTGAGAGGACTGCAGCCAGGCTGGGGCTTACATGCCAGGGGGGAGAAAAAAGCAGGGAAGAAAATCCAACAGGCAGGGAGGAGAGTGGAGTGAGGAAGGGAGGGAGGAAAGAATCACACATTTCAACGCTTTTCCCAGTGAAAGCTAGGTGTTTAATATAATCTAAGGCTTATTTTTATTTTAGTCATCTCCCTCTCAGGACTTGATGGACTTGAATAGTCAGATTTGTGAGATATTCAAAAGTAACTTGATGGGCCTTGGTAGGATTAGAAAGGGCCTGAGAGAGGAAAAGGCCAAGTCTTGTCATTCTAACTCCACATAGAATGGCTGTTTTCTGTTGTTATTCAAACACAGAGTGGAGGCAGCCTGATTTCCTGGAGTTCAAGTAAAAAAACGAACCATGATGTCAATATTGGTTTTTGTTTGTTTGTTTTTGAGACAGAGTCTTGCTGTATAACCCCAGGTAGAATGCAGTGATGTTATCATAGCTCACTGCAACCTCAAACTCCTGGGTTCAAGTAATCCTCTTTCCTCAGCCTTCTGAGTAGCTGGGACTACAGGCTACAGGTACCCACTACCACACCCAGTAAATTTTTCAATTTTTGGTAAAGTAGGGTCTTGCTGTTGCTCAGGCTGATCTTGAACTCCTGATCTCATTGCTATCAATATTAATAATAGCATTAATTAGCTGGGCACAGTTGCTCATGCCTGTAATTCTAGCACTCTGGGAGGCCAAGGCAAGAGGATCACTTTTGGCCAGGAGTTGGAGACTAGCCTGAACAAAAGTGAGACCCCCATCTCTACTAAAAATGGAAAAACTAGCTGGGTGTGGTGGTGGGTGCCTGTAGTCCCAGCTACTTGTGAGGCTGATGCAGGAGGTTCAATTGAGCCCAGAAGTTTGAGGTCGCAGTGAACTATGACCATGTATGCTAGCTGGGGTAACAGAGCAAAACCTTGTCTAAATAAATAAATAAATAACTTTAATAACAACAAAAGCAATAATAGTTTACCATTCATTAAATGCTAAGAAGTGTTCTAAACCCTTTCTAAGTGCTTTCCATAGATTACTTCACTTACTCTTCACAACAACAATACAGCAAAGAAAATACAAATTTTCCCCCATTTTGTAGAAGAAACTTCAGCACAGAGACATGACCAAGTTGGTAAATGGTAGACATTTAGATTTGTCTTTCTAACACCCAAGCTCAAAACCTGTCTGCCGTACCATGTGCCTCCTGCCTCTCATGGTTGGTGTTCAAGAGCCCAAACTGGACTGGAAAGATTTACTGATTTTTCTTTGGTAGGAAAAGCCACTGGTCCCGACCCCCAGCCCTAGGAACCAGGAGCTGAATAGAAAGTACAAGTCCCACCATGACCAAATGATCTGCAAGTGCCTCTCTCTGAGCATTTCCTACGCTGCTACCATCGGCGGCCTGACCACCATCATTGGTACCTCCACCAGCCTCATCTTCCTGGAACACTTCAACAAGTAAGTACCTCACTCCATCTCAACAAGTATTTGCTAACTACCTGCTGTGTGTCAGGAACTGGACGAGGTGGTGGGGATATAGCAGAAAAGAGACTGGAACAGTTTCTCTACCAAGAGGGAAAAATCAAGTCATCATGGTTAAGTGTGAGTAGAGAAGTCTCAAATTCTGCAGGGAACACTGGACTGGGGGAGCTTGCCCATCTGGAGGCAGGAGATACCTCACCGAAGAGGAGACCAGGTAGAAATGTGAAGGATGAGTCAGAGTAAACTAGATGAAGGGAGATTTTCCAGACAAAGCAAACAGTGTAGGCAGGCTCCAGGCAGGAGAACCAAGCACGTAAAAGAAAATGACAGGGCAAAGAAGGCCAGGGCACGGGGCGGACAGATCTCCAGGGCTTGGCAAGGCCCACTCAGGAACTTGGACTTCCTCCAGGAGGCCGTGAGAAGCCTTTAAAGAATTTTAAGCAGGGAGTGAAGTGACCAGATTTATAGTTTTGAAACTCATTCTGGATAAAAACATGGAGAACAGATTGGAAAGGAGAGAGCAGGCAGCAGGAAGACGATTTAGGACACTGCTGCACTAGCCCAGGAGAGAGCCGGTGGTGGCCTTGGATGACACTGCAACAAGGAGGGGAAATGTTCAGATCTGAGAGAGATTCACAAGTAACATGATGGGTCTTGGTAGGAGTAGAAAGGGCCTGAGAGAGGGAAAGGCCAAACCTGACCCCTAGGCTCCTGCCCTCAGCAGCTAGGGGAACAGCAGGCAAAGATGAGGAACTGGGTCTTTAAAAAGCTGAAACAGAGGCTGAGATGTCCAGTGAACATAGAAGTCTGAATTCTAAGAGAAATATGTTGGCCAAAGGCGTAGTTTTGGAGTCAACTGCCTGTAGGGCTGGTGCTGCGGGCATGCAGCCTGTGCAGTGGCAGGGCCTTGTGCCCAGAAAGGCCTCACGCTGGGTTAATGCTCTCCCTGTCCAGAGATTCTTAATAATCTTTGAGCAAGGGGCCTACATGTTCAGTTTGCCTCCTGGTAATAGATACTAGGAGTGGAGGAGGTTACTTAGAGCAAAGTAGAGCAAAGAACTAAAGATTAAGCTCAAATATTTAAAGTAGACTACAAAAGACAGCAGGAAACAGTATCAAAGAGGAAGTCCAGGAAAATCTACTGTCATTCTACCCAAGGGAGAAAAGTTTGAATAAAGTATTTAATGTCAATGATGACACAAAGTAAGGCCACAAATGTGTCTGTTAGGTTTCGTGACATAAGATGAGCTAGGCAAGAAAATTTGGCCATGTGTTGGGACAAGAATCCAGATCTCGGTGAGTTGAGCAGTAAGAGAAGGTGAGGAGATGGAGAGGTGACTGCAGAGGGGAGGAGAGATGTGCAAGGTTAATAAAGGAAGGGTTTTTAAGATGGGAGAAATTTCAGTGCTGGTAAGGATGACGCAGATGAGAAGCAAATTAAAGATTTGGGAAAGAGGGGATAACTGATAGAATGATGTCACTGAAAAACAAAAAAGGACGGGATCCAGAGCACGGAGTCAGGAAATTAATCAGAGACAAGAGGTGAAACAAGGAAGGGGAAAGGGCAGAAAGAGAGAGGAGGGAGTGGGAGGGAGGAAGGAATGACCAGGGAGAGTTTGAGACCCGACTCCCCAGGATCTATGTCTCACGGAGTCCTCATGCCATTTTATTCTGTCCAGGTTCTGAGTTTCTGGTCTTTAATTTCTGCCTGACTTTGTGGTCGGGCCAATTCATATTCCTTTAGTCTACTTCTTTGATGGTAAATAGCACATTTAGTCAAAATTATTGCTCACCTGAACAATGGGCATTCCGTGAAAGAAAGAGTGCCCCCTGCTTCCGCACTACAATTAAAATGTCCCCATGCACTTTTTCTTGGCATTAGTGAACAGACCACCCCCAAAGTTCATATTAGGTGTTTTAAATTCATTGTTAAACTTACAGTGTGTATATGTATATAGGTATTGTGTATATTCAGAAGGTGCAAAAAATGTATACACAATTTAAGGAAATAATATATTAAAATTATAATAATATATACTGTTAACAAAAGATGAATACAAGTCATCTTGAATTGAGCACCTCTTGTAATTGCAGAAGTCAACTGTGATTTGAGTTATTACAAATTTAATACCATTTTTCCCATTCTTAAAATGTGTGTACCTTTTTGGCACCCTCTGTATATATGTGTCTGGATACTTGTATGTGTGTGTATGGGTACATGTATGTGTGTGTGTATATGCATATTTTTTTCTCACTTTTAAAAAATGCTACAAATGGCACTAAGCTCTCGTATTGATCCACAAATCCTACTTACCCTATTCTAAAATCTCAGTCCTCTTCTGGGTCTAGGAGCAGGCCCTCGGCTTCTCTGCCCAGAGATGGGATGATGCAACAGACATTGTGCCTGTCAGCCCAGGTGGCCCACAGTGAGTCACTTAACGGTTTGTGCCCTGTGGCATCCTCATGGCCCCTACAGCCCTCCTTCCCAATGCACACCATCAGCGGCCCACTCTGGCCTACGGGAAGGGTGCAAGCTGTCTCAGCTCCAGGAAGCACATGTAAAAGTAAATCCACAACCAGACCACAGTGCAACAGAGCAGATATCCTTTCGATAATAGAGAAGACTAAACACACTTTTTTCTTCTTTTTTGAGATGAAGCCACAAGCTGTTGCCCTGGGTAGAGTGCTATGGCATCACAGCTCACAGAAACCTCCAACTCCTGGGCTCAAGCGATTCTCTTGCCTTAGCCTCCCAAGTAGCTGGGACTACAGGTGCCCACCACAACACCCGGCTATTTTTTGGTTGTAGTTGTTGTAGTTGTTTGGCAGGTCCAGGGTGGATTCCAATCTGCCAGCTCTGGTGTATGTGGCTGGTGCCTTAGCCGCTTGAGCTACAGGCACCGAGCCAAGATTGAACACTCTTACATCCTATGCTGTCACTGCATTCTCTCCTTTGAGAATTGTTCATGGCCTAGTGCAAGAAGAGAGGCATGATCACTTCCCTTCCTGGAGTTCTATGCTCAGCCACAATAAGAAACCTACGGATAAGGAAACAGCCATTTAGGCCCCAGCCCTGTCTAGGCAAAAGTCACAGCCCACATTCGGTCCATCCCAGCTCCCCCCCTTGAGTTGGGGGTCCAGTCCTCTGGACAAATTCCTTCTACCCTAAGACAGCGATAGATGTTGATAAAGATTTGGAGATTCCAAGCCCTGATTTTCTTATGGGCATTGTTATACCTGGAACCTTCATGAGGCCCTAGAGCCCAAAGTTCTTCAGAACTGGCCTGCCTATGTCCCCCAATCAAAATTCATATTTCTTCAGTGAGTTTATATACCAGCTGTCCTCTTCAGTCTCTGCTGTCTTGAGAACCAGATGAATTAACTTAACAGAATCTTTATGTAAATTAAGGGCAAATAAGTCTGAATAATTCTTTTGAATGCAAAAAATAGAAACTCTAGTAATATTAGTTTTGGTTGCCTAGATGCCCTTTTTAGCTTACTTTGTGATTCTTGTCTAGATTTTTTACAGTCACAATTGTCAAATAAGTGAGTTCTAGATAATGTTTTACCCTATTTTTATCATTATCTCTTTCCTTAGCCTGGCTGTATATCTTCTTAAGGCTTCTCATTTGGCTTAATTGCCCAAAATGCCATATGGAAATCCTCCCTTTTCTAATCACTGACCTGGTTCTTTCCTCTCCAGCCAGTATCCAGCTGCAGAGGTGGTGAACTTCGGCACCTGGTTCCTCTTCAGCTTCCCCATATCCATCATCATGCTGGTGGTCAGCTGGTTCTGGATGCACTGGCTGTTCCTGGGCTGCAAGTGAGTCCCAGGACCCTTTCAACAAATCACTGAGGCTCTCCCTGTTGATCCAAAGACCAAGGTCTGAGGCCTGGAGGGCTCTGTTCAAGGAGGCTGCTGCTTCCAGGAGAATAGTAGTGAACTATTGGAGAATAGTTAGTGAACTAACTCTCCAGTAGTGAACTGGATCAGGAATCAGGCATCGGCTCTTCTAGACACTTGGAATGTTCATAAACCCAGTACTTCACCCTCAGCTCTACAATGAAACATTCTTAATTCTAATGAGTTAGAGGGCCTGTCTTATTTATAAAAGTCTAAATTGGAGAATGTTTAATGTAGTTTTATTGCTCTGAAAGCAAAGAGAGTAATTCCAACTACTTTAGGAAATATGGCTCCAAGTGGAATTTGCCTCAAGTTTAATTTTATAGACATGGCTTACAGCCTATAGGGAATATGCTCATATCCCTCAAAATAAGTTAGACATTTCCCTTTCAATAGTATTTCTAATATAATCTACTTAGCAAGCCTTTTCTTAATAACCATCAGTCTACTCCAAATTTGATCAGTTTTAAACACATAAAGGGCTGATATGTAGTCTATATAATGTTTTGCTATTAGTCCCATTGGTCAAGGAATGTTCTCTGAGCTGACTTTTCTTTTAACTCAGAGACTGTTTGTTGTCAAACCAATGATGATTATGTACTTCTTAACTCCAGTATTAGTAACATACAACTAACAGCAACTTTTACTCTAGATAAGCTTTTTCTCTAGACAAACACACACACATTCACACACATACCCTATGTGGAAAAGCAAAAATTTACATCTAGACACATACAGCACATTACACTGATTCTTTCACTTATGTAAAAGGTAAGCCTGTAGAATCGACACCACCTAAGTATACTTGCACAAGTTCATGAGGCATAGCTTGGCATTGATAGACCAGAGATATATACAGATGGATACACCCATAACCCAGGAGATGAGGTTGATGAGAGGCTGGAGAATTTGGATGGAAGTTGTATGAATAGTCAGGGGACAGAGGGTAGAGCATGTGAGTGAAGAGGAGAAAAGTGAGCACAGCAGGCGAGTGGTTTAGTATTTGCTTAATGTTTAGTTTCCTCTGAGCCTCAGAAATATGTTTTCCTTATTCCTTTGCTCATTCTCCCTTCTTAGTTTTAGAGAGACCTGCTCTCTGAGCAAGAAGAAGAAGACTAAAAGGGAAGAGCTGTCAGAGAAGAGGATCCAGGAAGAATATGAAAAGCTGGGAGACATTAGGTAAAAAGCAGCTTCCCCTTCCCTCCTTCCCTGGACAGGAAAACAGCCGGTAAAGTGAGCATAGAAGCATCCTTGTTCTGGACAGTCCCTGATGCTGGAAGAATTTTCCACATCTATGAATCCAGGCATTTAGATGCTATTTAATGCCAGAGTCAAGCTGGCCCAGATTTTAGATGGCCACCCTTCCCCTTTGCTATATTCGGAGTCCAAAGTATAGCTGTGGTCTGGGGGTGGAGTGTTGTTGACGGAGCAGATGGAGAAAGAACAGGGAAAGACAGCACAGCCACCCTCTTGGAATGTGGCAGATTTGTTCTGTAGCCAGGACTCTTCACGTTGCTAAAATGGCCCTGTGCACTGGCCCAGGGATCTGGGAGACCGCTCGGAGGGATGGGGAACCTGTGGCCTTTTGAATCCTTGAGTGTAGCCTTTTGACTAACTGCAAACTTTACAGAACAAATCTTTTCAATGAAGTGAAGTTTGGATTCACTCGAGGGGCTGCTTTGGGGGATCTGGAGGGCCACATATGGCCTTCAGGCAGAGGCTCCCCAAGCCCTTCCACAGTGACCTGGCATCCTTTTTGGTGTTATTTCTCCATTTATGGCAACTTCTCCCTATATGGCATGTACAGCTTTGACTGGGTGAAACAATTCAGGTAGACACTATTTTTTTAAAGTTTTAAGTTACAAAAAGAATACATGTTCATTGTAGAACATTTAGAGAATACAAGAAAATATAAGGAAAATTTTGAAGTGACTTGTATTTTTAGCATCCCAGTGCTAATGAGCGTCAACATGATGTACTTCTTTCCAGGCTTTTTTGTGCAAAACTGTATGTATTTTTGGTAAAATTAGAGTCCATTCAAAACATAGTTGTATATCTTGCCCTTTTCACCCAACATCCTACTGGCATTACGTTCCCACGTCATGAACTCTGCTGTAGAGAACACAACTAGCAGCAGATGGGTCCCATCCTAACATACAGTGGTGCCACAATGTATCCAGCGTCATGGAATACCATTGAATATAGAGGTTGTTTCCATCCTTTAATAGGTAAGGTTTCAGTATGAACTTCTGGTGGCTTTCTTAGAGGATGGGAATGACCAAATATAAGGCTTCTGATGTATGTGGTTAAATGGCTTCAAAAAGGCTTTTGCAATTCCCATCCCACCAGCAGTGCGTGAGATACCTGTTTCACTACATTCTCCTTGTAGGCTGTATGTGCATTTTACAAATGTATAAATGTGCTCTCTTTCCCTTCCCACCTAAATTTCTCCAGTAAACATGGTTAACGTCTTCTTTTCTGGTTCCACTTACTCCTCTTCCCAATTCACTGTCAGCCATTCATACCAATTAGGCATTAACCATGTTTTATGTCTCAAGTATTAGGACTCTGAATAGAGAAGCTTTCAGAGCAAAGTCAAAAAGCTGAAAGAAATTTCCGTTTTATTTTATAGCTACCCTGAAATGGTGACTGGATTTTTCTTTATACTGATGACTGTGCTGTGGTTTACCCGGGAGCCTGGCTTTGTCCCTGGCTGGGATTCTTTCTTTGAAAAGTAAGCGATATCTTTTTCTCCTTAAGAATAATCCCCTTTTGCAACCATTAAAATAGAGTGGAAAAAAATAAAATAAAATCAAGCAACCTCCTTACCCGAATTCTTCTGGCAATAACTACCACTGGGGCGCCTTCCCAGACTCTCAGGGGCAGACATGAATCCAGGAAGCATTTCATTCCCTGAGAAATCTACATTTTTTTAGGGAAGCTGCAAAAGCTGAGTTGTGGATTCAGAATGAAAATGCAGTCTTTGGAGTCCCAGTCTGGGATTGGGAGCCAGTGTTGCAATTTACCAGCTGTGTGACCTCAGTCTCCTTACATAAGCTCTTGGAACCTCAATTATCTCACAGCTTGTTATGAAGGTTATGGTGTGTGTGGGGGAGGGGGGTGGTGGTTAAGTACCAATGGTGAACAGACTGCCACAGAGGGGCTGAGGCTTGTGGAAGGAAAGAAGACCCCACGAGAGAGATCCATGGGCTCCTGTACCACCCTGCAGAAGGGCCAGGGCCACAGGGCAGCATCCTACAAACTCTCCCAATACCAACTTTTCATCTGAGGGTGGCCCTTGTAGGAAAAAGGTCTTTCCACTATTTCTATTCTCCTTTAACAAACCAACTCTTGATCACTTCTTTTAGGGCTTGCCCCAGCTAATGGACCTATAAATTCACACTACAACATCTACTCTAGCCAGACCCTGCCTCCAGTCTTAACACTGCCCATTAAATCCACGGTGGCATATCACAGCAGCAACTGGCAAGATGTGAGGCTGATGGTACTTCTAGACTAAGTCCTAAAAAGAGTCATTGTGTTCAGACTGTCCTGAGACACTGTGTTGTTCCTGAGTAGTCCTGACCCTCCTCTTTCAGCCATGCTATTTCTTTGCTAGGAAAGGCTACCGCACTGATGCCACAGTCTCTGTCTTCCTTGGATTCCTCCTCTTCCTCATTCCAGCAAAGAAGCCCTGCTTTGGAAAAAAGAATGACGGTGAGAGAAGGTTCAAGGGAAGAAGGCAGGGGTGGCTCAGATGAAGAATACCCAAATCAGCTGGGTCCAGTGGCTCACAACTGTAATCCTAGCACTCTGGGAGGCTGAGGCAGATAGGTTGTCTGAGCTCATGGGTTCAAGACCAACCTGAGCAAAAGCAAGACCCCATCTCTAAAAATAGCCAGGCGTTGTGGCAGATGCCTGTAGTCCCTGCTACTTGGGAGGCTGAGTCAAGGGGATCACTTCAGCCCAAGAGATTGAGTTGCTGTGAGCTATGACGCCACAGCATTCTACCAAGGGCAATAAAATGAAACTCTGTCTCAAAAAAAAAAAAATACTCAAATCAGAATAATCTTAAGGAGACTTATCAAGGTCCTTTAGACACCCCCAAATTAGCAGAGCAGTCTCCCAAATCATCCCTATCTCCACAAATCATGCCCTTCAGGGATTAACTAGCTCTGCATCTCTCTCTACCTGGGATCCAGGAGAGAGCCGGGAGCTCCCACTGAGGACAGAGCCCATCATCACGTGGAAGGACTTTCAGAAGACCATGCCCTGGGAGATCGTCATTCTGGTGGGAGGAGGTTATGCTCTGGCTTCTGGAAGCAAGGTAACCCTTCAATTATGTTATGGGTCAGATATGTTTCTGGTATCTTTACCTAATGAGTCATATGACGGTGGGAAGAAAGACTCAAAACTGCTGAAAGGTGAATGTTCACTGAGTTCCTGGGAAGAGAAGCAATAGAGCAGAAGGGATGTCCAGTTCTGCCCTGAGCTCCCCAGTTGATGCTGCTGGGAACAGTTACATGTAAATCAGCAGTGACGTAAAGACATGACACATGGGCATTCTACACTACAGTTATGGGGCACACATTGCCATAAGCAAGAGGTTTATTGGAGTTTGTAGCCATCTCCTCCTGGGATCTGACAGTGGTAATGGGAGGTGGGTCTGAAAGGGGCCAGAGATGCCCAGTGACACACAGTGAACTATCTCTTGGTTAGTCTGTGTGCAGAGACTGAACCCGTTTGAAGAACCTATGCTAAAGCTGATAAAAATGCTACTTGACTTCCTGATCGGGAGGATTTGGGATAAGATCTCTTAAGTGTAGCTAGGGATAAATGGTTGTATTTCCTAAAGTGTTAGCCTCCCTGAAATAAAAAACAATCCTAAGAATGAATCAAGTTAAGGTAAAAACTGTTTCTCCCTGCACCCAGGCATTAACCCCTTCTAAACTTGGTTCACTTCTGATGGCCCATTCATTGTAGCCTCTGTGCATCATTAATAAGAAGGTCACAGAATCCTACACTCAGATGGAACCTTCGAGGACACTGAGTCCCACCTCCTACCCAGTGCAAGATTTCATAGGTGTCCATGATATCCCTGGCTTGGACACCTCCAGCGACAGGGCACTCCCTATGCAGAGAACAAAGAATAGTTGTTCTTTCCTCTCAGCCCAGGTCTTCTGGATTTGTCCACCGTTGGCTCTGGTTCTGTTCTCTGAAACCCTCTCCTGGGTAATAATTATTAAAATTAAAAATCAAGGGCAGTGCCTGTGGCTCAAGGAGTAGGGCGCCAATCCCATATGCCAGAGGTGGTGGGTTCAAACCCGGCCCCCACCAAAAACTGCAAAAATAAATAAATAAATATTAAAAAATTAAAAAATTAAAAATCAAGTAGTGGCCCCTTACCATCTGGTCTCTCTCTGTAGGACTCACTACACTTGACCTTATTCAAACATAGTGTGGATGGTGGTCAGTCTACTGAAAAGTAGATTGTCACATAACAAGCCCCAGCTCTCCCCTATGATTTAAGCATCCCTCTGCATTTTTGTGGAAGCTTTTATAAAGCATCTTCAGCATTCATGTCAATGTTTATATTGAAATTGCTATCAACTAAAACCTTTCATTCTTTTAATTGTTAGCTATCCTACGAGCTCAATTCCTTCAACATATCCTATATATATGCTGCCATATATATATAGGCAAGAGGGTATCATTCAAGACAAGGAGGGTATCATTATTTTGCTGAGGCTGGTCTTGAACTCCTGGGCTCAAGTGATCCTCCACTTCAGCCTCCAAAAGTGCTGGGATTACAGGCGAGAACCACTGTGCCCCTCCTGTCAGCATTTCTAATTTCAAGTTCAGTATATTTATATTTATTAAACTTCAGTTGTAAGTTTTGGCCCCTAAGTCTAGCCTGGCAAGTTTTGGGTTTTTTTTTTTAAATCAAAATTGTGTATGTATCACACATTATAGGTAGTATAGTTTCTATTTCTGTAAACCTCCTAATTTAAATAATAATTCAGGTACTATATATATGATGCCTTCTGAGTATGAAGAAATTTCAATCTTGTTATTAGTGAGGAAAACCCAACATAAGATGTTTTCATACTAAGGGTTTAAAAATTAAGATTCCTTTTGTTCTGTTTTTTCTTTTTTTTGAGACAGAGCCTTAAGCTGTCCCCCTGGGTAGAGTGCTATGGCATCACAGCTCACAGCAACCTCCAACTCCTGGGCTCAAGCGAGTCTCCTGCCTCCGCCTCCCAAGTAGCTGGGACCACAGGCGCCCGCCACAACGCCTGGCTATTTTTTGGTTGCAGCCATCATTGTTGTTTGGTGGGCCCGGGCTGGATTTGAACCCGCCACCTTTGGGGTATGTGGCTGGTGCTTAGCCACTTGAGCCACAGACACTGAGCCTGTTCTGTTTTTTTCTAACTTTCCAGTCTAATTTATCAATTTATTTTAAATTATAGTTTTAAATGGTTCTGGAAAAATAAGTGCCATTAAATTATTTCACTTTACTTATAAGTACTATTTGGATAACACATTAAGTAAAACTCTATTTCTTTAGAAACACACGGTTTCCACTCAACTAACTGCTCTTCCCCCCACTGCCTTTGTCCAATCAGCAAGGCTTAATGTGTTATAAAAGGGAACAATTAGAGTTCCTGTAGGCCTCGAGGCTTGTACCAACCATTAATTGATGCAATCGCCACATATTGGGTTTGTAGCTCAGTTAGCTGAGAGAAAAAAGGTGAAAAAGTTCTTCAAGGTGTAATGGCTACAACAGAGAATTCTGAAGGCCTTTGGTCATCAGTTGTCTATGAGCTTGCCAGGAGGTGGCTAGGGTACTGCAGAGATCAAATGAGCTTTTGATGAATTTGGAAAAGAGGAGAGAAAGTAGCCTGCTGACAAAGTAGTGAGGGCTGTCTGTAATAGTCCAACACGAGTAGCAGGACTTAGACCTAGCAGGATCATAAAATGTCTCACCTTGCTTTCTGCCCCACTCTCCGTATCTCAGTGCACTGCAGTCTCTAGGGTACCACAGGAAAAGTCAGAGCATGTCAGCCACAGAAGGGAGAGGAGGAGAAGGGAAGAGAGGGAGTGAGAATGCATATGGCAACCTGGGGGTTTCTATGACAAAGACCCAGTGGTGTCCTTCATTTTTTAGGAAGAGACAGTTCTCACCACTGGCAAAGCGAACATCTTCCGACCAAATACATTATTCCAAGTGGGAATATTTATTTATTTAAGTAGAAATGTATAAATATTGCTAACAGAAAAGGTTCAAGACAAGCAATATGCTTTCATATCTTGTGTCTTCAAAAAGCACTGGCAGGCTTGGCGCCTATAGCTCAACCGGCTAAGGCGCCAGCCACGTACACCTAAGGTGGCGGGTTCGAA